TTAGTACACTGTTTCTTCAATGTTGGTGTTGTAGAGTAATGAGATGATGAATCTTCTGTGCTTTGGTCCTGGGTTTTTTATCTCCCTTGTTTAAGGGTTTTTCTGACAACATATCGGTGGACATCATCTTCCTTAGACTGAAAAGTTTGCAGAATTTATTAGCTCTTTTGGGATTCAGTTGATGAGGCACAGTAGTATTAGTAAGTCCAGGAATATCCTTTTCTCTCTCTTATTACTATTATTATTTTTTACAATAACCAAGTTGAGAATGCTCAGATTGGCATCCACAATAAAACCTTGAACAGATTTGTGCTTTCTCTCTCCAGTTTACTTTGGTCTATAACAGGAATGCCCCTTACTCAGCAGCAGGTGAACACAGCCATGAGTCAAGAGATACCCTGCTTCATGGGGAAACCTTGCTTGTCAGTCCCATCACTGATTTGAATCACATAACCCTTCTATGCTTCACCCAGAGTGTTAGCAGCAACTTCTTGGCCATAAGCTTCTCAAAGTATGAAATTTGTGTCCACCCTCCACTTCAGTGAGTTTCTGGTAGCCAGTGGCTTGGAAAGATAGTCAGCTTCATCTTGGTACAGCTTCAGATACCAAATTTTATCCTAGGTTTTGAAAGATGATTATATATTGATTTTGAAAAAATAATTATCATATGAGCTTTAATTAAGAATTTTACCAGCTTGGGGTTTGGCAAAATGCCAGACAATTGTCACTAGGAACAGAACTGTATCTTTTCTTCTGAGAACATTTTTTAAAGACTCCCAAACTCCTCCAAGAAGCAATTCTTCCATAAATTTCTCAAGCCAGATTGAACAAATTATCTTTGAAATGACTGACCCATCAGAAATTCTCCTTAAAACATTTGCTCCCCAGAAATAGAGTCAATTAATATTTCCCCTAGGATTATGTCAAACTCTTTCATTTTTAGACTAAAGAAAAACCATTCAAAATATCTCTGACAGCCTAATTTTGGCTTTCATATCAAATAGCATTTTTCTCTTATCAGGAGCACTCTATTCCAGCCATGTGGGTCCCTACAGATGCTGGATTCACTCTTCCTGAGCCTCTCACCACTGCAGTACTCTTGGCCTTGCTTTCCCCTTCCTCTGTGGGTATTGCTATTTCACCCATCCTTCATAATTGGATGGTAAAAATTTATTTCTGCTCTTAAGTTTTTGGAAGACATTCCTGGTAACTTCAATCAGGTTACTACTAGGGAAGAAACCTGATCAATACACACACACACACACATACATTACATGATGATACCTCATAACCCAAAAGGATTTATCTCAGGAATAGAACATCAAAATTAGGACAATGTAATTCTCTATTAAAATAATGAAGAGAAAAACAATATGATCATTTCAATCAATGCAAAAGATGCATATGACAAAAATACTATTCCCTTTTATGATAAAAACTCAGCACACAGGAGTAATGTCCTTTTTCATAACAAGAGAATGTCCTTTTTCATAACAGATATACATAAATTTCAATTTGTTTGCTAATATATTAAATGGAGAAATACTGAATATTATTTCTATTCAATGTTCTATTGAACCATGCTATGTAGCACTGCAGTGTAAAAAAAAAAATAAAAGGTGTTATAATTGGAAAAGAAAAATATAACATGGTAATCATGTACAGATAACATGGTTGGATAACAAAACTACTAAAAATAAGTAAACGGAGCAAAATTGCAAGATACGAGGCCAATATACAAGTCAGTTGTATTTCTACACACTAGTAAAAAAACAGAGAATGAAGTTGAAAAATACTACTTATAGTAGTACAGACAGCACGTTATGTCCTCTCATGCCTTCTTGCCACAGTGTATGCTTTTTTCCTTACTTATTTCCTTCTACCTTCATATACCTGTTCCAATCCTACATTTCTTTCCAGTCTCATTTTAGACTTTTCACTCTATTAAAAATGTTCTTTCTCTCTGTCCTTGAGTAGTTCTCAAAGTTTAATTCATCAGCAAATCCTTTCCTTAAAAAAGCTAAAGTAACAGATTTCAAATATGCAAAACTGATAAAAGTGAAGAATTCTTAATGAAACAATAAGGAATTAACTCCTGCTTTCCTTAAAAAGAAAAAAACAAAAACAAAAACAAAAACAAAACAAACAAAAAACAATTCCAGAAGCAAAGATTTGAAGCCACTATGATTAAGTTTTTGTCACCTGAATAGAAAGGGCTGTTAACTGAATCTTTTTTTTTTTTTGGTACTAGGGATTGAACCCAGTGGTGCTTAACCACTGAGCCACACACCCAGTCCTTTTTCATATTTATTTAGAGACAGGGTCTTGCTGAATTGATTGGGACCTTGCTAAGATGCTGGCTTTGAACTTATGTTCCTCCTGCCTCAGGCTCCTGAATTGCTGGGAATACAGGTATGCACCATTGCATCTGGCTTGTTAACTGCACCTTAAAAATCGAGACCTTTTCCCTATCTTAGTGAAAATACATCAGCAACCAGAAATTCCTTTACCTCCAATCAAACTGATTTACATTCCCATCTCTCTGTAGACTTCCCCCTTTCATAAAGTTAAGATTAATTTCTTTACCTTTTTGCAGAATTCCCTCATAACATTTCAAAAATGTGTTCTACCCAGTAATCTTTTTTTTTTTTTTTTTTTTTTTAATACCGGGGATTTAACTCAGGAGGACTCAGCCACTGAGACACATCCCCAGCCCTATTTTGTACTTTATTTACAGAGAGGGTCTCACTGAGTTGCTAAGTGCCTTGCTTTTGCTGAGGCTGGCTTTGAACTCGCAATCTTCCTGCATCAGCCTCCAGAGCTGCTGGGATTATAGGCATGTGCCACCACACCCAGCCTACCTAGTAATATCTTCTTTAATCCACTCCCAATGTGTGTAAATCCTATTGCCTAAGTCATTAAAATAGACATATTCCCTAAATCATTCTTTTCCCTTCATTTAAACTTCCTGAAAGTCTTTAACATGCTATTAGTTCCTCCTTCATATAATAATCTGGCTTCTGTTCACTCTACTGATATTGTACTTGCCAACATCTCCAGTGATCTGCTTAGTTACCAATTTATTCTTTCCTTATTACTTGACTTTAGGATCAACACATGAACTGTGATTCAGTTCTTTTTTGGATACATGTCATCAATCTTATGGCATTTCTCCTACTTATATAGGACTGCTCCTTTTGATCTTAGCTCAACTCCTCCCATTCCCACCCAACACACCTCCATCAACTTCTATATTTTTTACATAGTTTTATCCATGATCTCTGTTTCTCACTTTAATCTGTTCACTCTCCTGGCCAATTTCATGCACCATGATTTTCACTACCTACTATATTTTACTCATAATTCTAGTTTTCAAACTCACATTTCCTAAAATTGTGTGCCAAATTTAAAGTACAAAATCAATCTTGATAACTTTCAAATTGCCTGTCTTGGTGCATTGTACCATCATCCACCTGGGTAACAAACCTAACTTACCCTTCTTTTTACTCACCAAACACTATTATTCAATTGCAAGGACTATGCCTTATCTATTCTATACAGTATTAATATTGTCACATATTCTTTACCTCACTGTCTTGTGTTTGGAGACTCATTTACCTATCAAATGACTGTAATGGCCTATGTGACTAAACTTGTTCAGCTGTGTTCAACATTCTAAATTCATCCCTTTGTCGCCATAACTGTCTCCCTTACTTAAAATTTGTGCCATAAAACTCAGGGTAAAATTTAAACTCCTTATTATGACAAATAAGATGTTTTGCTATCTCATTTCTGCTTTCTTCTCAAGATTCAGTCTCATCACTTCTTTTAACAACAGACTTTCTATAACTGTGCCATGCCACAACTTTGCATATGTGGTTTCCCCTATTTAGAACACTCATTTCACCTTCCAAAGAATCCCTACTATTCTTCCAAATCTGGGCACAGGTATAACTGTTTCTGAGACATCATCTCTGGTCTCTCCAAGCTCCCTTGGTTAGTCTTCATTCCTTTATTCTGCATCCTCCTGTAAACCTCTATTTGTTCTGCAACATAATATCATCACAAATTACCTAGTTCTCTGTGAAAAATCACTTACAATTTTTCATTTGCCGTTTCCTTTAACTTCCAATTTCCTACACAAATTAATGACTTCTTGAAGAGAGCCTGTTTCTTTCAGCCATACAATTTCTAGTGCCCAGGATAGTCCTTGGCCTAAGCCTAGGCATAAACAAATGTAAACCACTTCCAAAGTTCATGTTTTTTTTTTTTCTTTTGCAGTCTGAAATTGTAAAAACTAGAAGACCTCAAGTGAAAAAATAAACTTTTACTTCATGAAGTGATTCCTTTTCAAGACTTTCCCACTGGTTATAGTTTCTCCCAAATACTGGAATTTTTTTTTCCAACTGAGAAATATAGTTTTAATCTTTTTTTGGGGGGGGGAGGGAGTGAGTATTGAGGATTGAACTCAGGGGCACTCAGCCATGGAGCCACATCCCCAGTCCTATTTTGTATTTTATTTAGAGACAGGGTCTCACTGAGTTGCTTAGTGCATCACTTTTGCTGAGGCTGGCTTTGAACTTGAGATCCTCCTGCCTCAGCCTCCCAAGTTGCTGGGATTACAGGCATGCACCACCATGCCTGGTATAGCTTTAATCTTGACATGATTGCCAAAACAAACTAAAGTTCTATTTAAATTATCCAGTATCACTGTTCAGAGCATAGCAAGTATGGCTTAATAATAAATAAGACCTCAAAGCAACTAAGAAAAATTATTCTGAAAACAAAATTAGGAATTGTGTAGAAATTTAAGAGCCTTTTAGGTGTAGTTTATAAAGTTACCGGAACCAAAAAGGAACATATATTTTTCTTTTCTTTTTTTAAATGATAACCATGCCACTTTGACAGTACATTAGGAAAAGGTGAATTACAGACACTCAGAGGTAGCTCATAGTTTGTTTTCTTCTTTTATTTGGTCCTTTGCTCTAAAAATGCACATATTTTTAAGATCAATTCTTTCCTTTATTATAAAAGTGTTAGTTGTAATAAATATGCTAGTAGTTTATACAGTTGCTTTTCTAGTGAGAAATTCAGCACCCCTGAACCCAGATGTTTTCCCCCCATATTTACATGTTGCACACTGTATAATGCTGAAAAAGACAGGGTTAAAAAAAGCCCATCTTTTATCTTACAAATGGCTACTATCATGTCAGCAACTGTGAAGTGTCTATGCAGGACATTTTAAAGAGTAAATGACAAATGGCTCAGTGGTGTACATTTGTAATTCCAGCAACTTGGGAGGCTGAGGCAGAATGACTGCCAAATTCAAAACTAGACTGGGCAACATAGTGAAACCTTCTCAAAAAATAGTAGAGCAACCCTTGGTTCAATCCCCAGTATGGCTAAAAAAAAAAAAAAAAAAAAGAAAAAGAAAAAGAAAAAGCGAATGACAGGTATGAAAATTTTTCTCATATGATTACATGGCCAAAGTTTAATCCTTGGAATTTATATCTAATGAAGACTCTATCAAAATAGTTTCTTGATATTCCTAATGTTCAATAAATCAATCTTAAGTACATAATCTCTGATAAGCTTTGGTTTAAGGCTTTTAAACATGCAAATCTGCTTTCAAGGAGCCCTCTTCTATATGAATTTTAAAATGATTTGTAAGGGATGACCTCTGGCTAAAGAGTTTCCCACATGCATTACACTCATAAGGTTTCTCTCCAGTATGAATTCTTTGATGTGCAATAAGTGAGGAGCTTTGTCTAAAAGTTTTCCCACATGTGTTACATTTAAAGGGTTTTTCTCCTGTATGAATCCTCTGATGTTGAATAAGAGCTGCACTTTGGCCAAATGACATCCCACATTCCCCACATTGATAGGGTTTCTCTCCAGTATGGATTCTCTGATGATTACTAAGGGATGAGTTACACCTGAATGTTTTCCCACACTCACTGCATTTGTAGGGTCTTTCTCCAGTGTGCATTCTCTGATGCTGAATGAGAGCTGAACTCTGCCTGAAGGCTTTCCCACACACTTTACATTTACAAGGTTTCTCTCCAGTGTGAATTCTTTCATGAATGATAAGTGTTGAATGGGAACTTAAGGCCTTGCCACATTCATTACAATTATATAATTTCTCTCCAGTATGAATTATTCGATGTCTATTGAGTCGTGAAATAGAAGTGAAACCTTTTCCACACTGATTACATCTATAGGGCTTTTCTCCAGTGTGAATTCGTTCATGTTGAATAAGTGATGCACTCTGACTGAAGGCTCTCCCACATTCACCACATTTGAAAGGTTTCTCTCCGGTGTGAATTCTCTGATGATAACGAAGAGATGAACTAGACTTAAAGGTGTTGCCACATTCATTACACAAATAGGACTTCTTTCTGGAATGAATTCTCTGACACCCTGGAAGAGATGTGGATGGCTTCCTACCTGGATTATATCTATTGGGATTTTCTCGAGCATGAATTTTTTGATGCATAAAAAGGCCAGATCTTCTGCTAAAGGATTTACCACATTCTTTACATCTATAGGATTTCTCCACAGTATGGGTTCTTAAGTGCTTACAAAGAGATGCACTATGGCTAAAGGCTTTCCCACATTCTTTACATATGTAGGGTTTCTCGCCAGTATGAGTTCTTTGATGTTGAATAAGACCAGAACTTTGGCTGAAAGCTTTCAAACATTCTTTACATTTAAATAATTTCTCTCCAGTGTGATTTTTCAGATGTTTACGAAGGGATGAATTGTGAATGAAAGCTTTTTCACATCTATTACATTTATAGCGTTTCTCTGCTGTCTTGATTTTTGGTTGGTTAAGTAAATTTGCATTCTGTTTGAAATTATTTCTTTGTATTTCATACGTTAAGGGTGTTCTTTCTCTAGAAATCCTTTGTTTCTTAAATATGACTGATTTTAGGCTGACATTTTGGCCAAATTCAAAATTTTTATGGCTTTTGTCTATAGTAAGAATTTTCTTATGGGTAACTGAAAATATTTTTAAGCTTTCATTTTTGTCTTGCTGTCTTTTTAACCTGTTTTCAGATATACAGGGTTTTTCTGATATAACGTCCCAGAGTTCATCCCTTTTTAGTCTTTTCCTCCTCAGCCCTTGAAATGTGAAGTCTTTAGTTTGAGTTGACTTTGTGGTTTGAAGACTGCTCTTATATCCTGAAAGAAAAGAAAAGAAAGAAGTTGCCAACGATTAATGTGATTGAGACTAAATTTATACAGGAAATATTAGTGATATCTAAATAAGGGTTTGCTACATGTCTAAAAGACGCTAGCAAAAGGTAAAAATAGGAAAATGAATGGTGGCAGATGTATTAGATAAAAACAAAAGCAAAGTGTAAGCTTGTTTATAGAGGGCATGCTTGACAAAGTGGAATGGAGAAAATGAACTAGAAGAGGCATATGAGTTGGGAAATGTAGTCTGGTATCTAAAGTCTGTGATGGATCTGTATATCACCTTACTTCTGAAATTATTTCTAATCTTCAATGTCTTGATTCCCTTTCCTATATGTTAAAACCCCTCTGGAACTGTCAGATTCAGTGTGAATGTTAACTCCTCTTACACCTTTTCATAACACTAAGCTTCAACAATCCATGCCTTTTCTTTATTATAAACAATGTGCAATTATGTGTCATAACCTAGATGGTATAGATTAATCACTTGATGTGACCCGTTGATGTGGTAAACACAAGATGGATGAGGCTGCTGCCAGGGTAACACAGCCTACTTAAACTTATCTATTTTCACAAGTAAAACACACTGTAAAATAACAATACAAAGCTGGGAGTGGAGCACGTGCAATCCCAGGACTTGGGAGGCTGATGCAGGATTGAAAATTGAAGGACAGCCTTTGTACCTTAGCAAGACCCTGTCACAAAATAAATAACTAAATAAAAAGGGCTAAGAGTACATACAGCTCAGTAAGTACTCTTAGCCAGGTGCAGCTCCCTGGTTTCAGATCTCAGTACTTGCCAAATAAAAAATTAAAAAAAAAAAAAAAAAAAAAAAAAAAAGGTACAATGGCTATGATGTTACTAAGTAGGAAATTTCTTACTCTTTTGTAATCTTATGGAACCAATGTTATGGTCCATCGTTGACCAAAAACATCATTAAGTGGTACACAACTCTATTATTATATGTATATTTAATGGAAAAATATATATCTAGAGATATCAAAAAAGCTTTAAAAAAATCTTGCATTACAAATAATATAAACACGCACAGAAACAGGAAACTGGGGGATATTTCCACATTATGGTAAAATTCACACATACTTTAGCCCTACAACTAGTACTTTACATAGTAAAGAAACACTAGGTGTATTTCCAATATAATGAAAACCAAGGTGAGAACATCCATTATTTCTCCTACTATTCAATGCTGTAGAAGTATTAATGCAATCAGACATAAGAAATCAATTATAGATATAGGGATGAGTAAAAGGTAAGTGAAACTACCTCCAATTGTTGATGGTATAGCACTAAGCCCCCCAAATCCCAGAGAATTAATGATAAAACTTATTCAGTGAAGTAGAAGCATTTGAAATTGACACACTAATTTAGCATGACTAGATGCCACTAGTACCTTCCTGATAGAACACTCCCATCCAGGTTATCATAAGCAAAAATCTTTCATGACATTGGCAAATGACAAAAGAGCACCTAGTACAGAACCACTGGTATCAATGGAAGAAAAATGACCATGAGTTGATAACTGTTGATATGAATGATGGACAAATGGAGATTCAGTATACTATCTCCTTACTTTTACATATGCTTGAAATTTCCCACATTCAAATTAAAAATTAAGCCTTCTTACACTTTTCTATCTTTCCTTGCAATAGGAGTAAGTTTCTTCTATATTTTCAATTCAAACTTAGCATTATAGGCCTTGCAACTTATCTTATTTTATATTCTCATCCCTTTTTTCTTGTGTTAAAAATGGGATTCTAATATAAACAAAATTATTCATTTGTTTTTCTTATAATCTACATTGTAATTTCAAAATAACATAACAGTATTATTGCTAAAAATATGAGAATTAAGAACAATGTAAGCTGGGCATGGTGGTGCACACCTATAATCCCAGTGGCTTGGGAGATTGAGGCCGGAGGATTGTGAGTTCAAAGCCAGTCTCAGCAATGGTGAGGTGCTAAGCAACTCATGAGACCCTGTCTCTAAATAAATAAAATACAAAATAGGGCTCCGGATGTGGCTCAATGGTCAAGTGCTCCTGAGTTCAATCCCCAGTACCAAAAAAACCCAAAACAAAACAAAACAAAACAAAAACCCCAAAACCGAAAACCAAAACCAAAAACCCCAAAACAAAACAAACAAAAGAACAATTTAACATTTGTTGGCAATTCTTTTTGTCTTTAGGCTATTATTCCACTAGGAAATTCAGTTGAAGTGCAGTGTTTTAAAGACACTGAAGTGATTCTTCTCTATTTAAGCCAAAGTTGAAACACAATGAGGTTCATTTGTTTCATTTTGTTCTCCATTTTTGAGGATTTCTTTATTATTTAATCTTGTTTCATAATCACATCAGAATTTTCATACTTTCAATTTAAAAACTATAAACAAGGTGCCTTCAGAAAAAAAATCTATCCTTATCCTCTTTTTTTGTCTTCACCTTATAATTAATCAGAGATGTGTATCATTCTTGTTTCTTATATAAAGGTGTGATACACACCGTTCTGCATTTCCTCCTTCATAACATATTCATAATGTATCTATACCCTTCATTACATATTCTGGAGATGGAGATTCTAGGGATCCAGATTCTCCTAGGGAAATTTACAGAGGTTATCTCTTATTTCTTTTCTTACTGTTGCATAGAATTTCCTGTGTTGATATACCAACACAATTTCACTAAGGGACAGTTGGGATAAGTCTGATTTTTAAATATTATCTTTTTATATTTTATTTAGAGACAGGGTCTCACTGAGTTGCTTAGGGCCTAAGTTGCTGAGGTTGGCTTTGAACTCACAATCCTCCTTCCTCAACCTCCTAAACAAATGGGATTATAGGCATGATCCCTGGAGCCTGGCTTAAGTATTCTGTTTTTATACATCTAGAATTTACACTGTTATGAGTGAAATACTGTGTCACAGGTATATCAGCACAGGAAACACCTCCTAATTCATTTTATGAAGTGAACATTACCTTGATATGATAATTACAGTATAATAAAATATATTCATGGGGCTGGGGCTGTAGCTCAGTTGCAGAGCGCTTGCCTAGCATGTATGAGGCACTGGGCTCAATCCTCAGCACCATAAAAATAAACAAATAAAATAAAGGCATGCTGTCCATCTACATCTACAAAATAAATTTTAAAAAATATATCCACAGACCCATTTCTCTCATGAATATAAATGTAAAAGTCCTTAACAAAATATTAGTAAATATAACCCAGCAATATATAAAAGGAATTATACATCATTATTATGTGTGTTAATTCCAGTGTTGTGTGGCAGGTTCAACATTAAAAAAAAATTATTCAACAATATTAATGGGCAAAAAACCAAAATAATATTATTCTATTAATATAAAAAATCTGACAAAATCCAGCTGGGTATGGTAGTGTATGCCTACAATCCCAGAGGATCCGGAGGCTGAGGCCGGAGGATATCCAGTTCAAAGCCAGCCTCAGCAATCGATTGAGGCCTTAAACAACTCAGCAAGATCCTGTCTCTAAATAAAATATTAAAAGGGTTGGGGATGTGGCTCAGAGGTTAAGCACCCCTGGGTTCAATCCCCAGTAACAATAACAACAACAATGACCCCAAAAATAAAAAAAAAAAAAGTTTGACAAAATCCAGCTACCATTCATGATATACAAATATAAAATCACCAAAAATAAGGAGAAGTTTCTTAAATTAATGATATCTAAAAACACTTGACAGCTAATATATTTACTGGGGAAACACTGAATGCTTTCCCCCAAAACTGGGACCAAGGTAAGAATGCTGTAACCACATTTTTTTTTTGTGGGGGTGGGAGAGGAGGAGTTACTGGGGATTGAACCCAGGGGTACTCTACCACACAGCTACATCCCTAGCTATTTTTATTTTGAGACAGGGCCAGGATGGCCTCAAACTTGTGATCATCTTGCCTCAGGCTCCTGTATCACTGGGATTATAAGCATGTGCCAATAGTCCTGGCTTGCTTTTACCATTCTTATTCAGCATGGTTTAGTCAGTGCAACTGGAAAGAAAATAAAACACGCATACTCATACACACACACACATAAATGTGTGTGTATATATCAGAAAGGAAGAAACTGTCCCTACTTGTAGGTAACAGTATGTTAAAAATCCTAAGAAATCTGTAATACATTACATAGAAGGAAGGTTACATGAACAATATTAACTTAGAAAAATTAATTATATTTCTACATAATAGCATTGAACAGTGAGCACTAAAATTAAAACTATAATGCCATTTACAATTGCTCAAAAATATTTGCAAGTGAATCTAACAAAATACATGCAGCACTCACATAAAAATTACAAAACACCATTGAAAAATTTAAAAAGCTAAAGAAACAGACATGCCATGTGGATTAGAACATTGACCATAATAAAGATCTCAACTATCCTCAAATGAATATACAGGTTTACTGTCATTCCTATCAAAATCCAAGCAAATGTTTTTTTTTTTTGTGGTCATTATTCTACAATTTGTATGAAAAAGCAAAGGAACTAGAATAGCTTAAAACAATTTTGGAAAAATACTGAGAGTAACCACTATATACATAAATTAAGGCCTATGTACAGTTACAGTGATCAACACTGGTATTGGCAGAGGAACAGACATAGATCAACTGGACAGAAAAGAAAACCCAGAAACAGACATCGTAACAACTATGTTCAACTGCTTTTTGACAAAGGTACTAAAGAATTCTGTGGAAGAAAAATAGCTTCTTCAACAAACAACGGAGGAACAATTGAATATACACAGCAAAAAAATGAACCTTAACACAATTTCACATCTAATAATAATTTAAGAAAACTTAAGAAGGGTCATGTACATAAATGTAAAATTTTAACACTTTTGGGGGGCGGGAACAGAAGAAAATATTTAAGATGTAAGAATAGGCAGAGTTTTTCCACTTGATACCAAACAGACAAACCGTAAAAGGAAACACTGATAAATTGGACCTCATCAAGATTAACACTTTTGCTCTATAAAAGACCCAGTTAACAGGATGAAAAGGCAAATTACAGACTTAGAGAAAATATTTGCAAAACACATCTGAAAAATTACTACTATTAAGAAAATAAGAATTCTCAAACTCAACAGTAAAACAACTAAACAAAACCCCAAAACAATTTAAGTAGAAAATGAACCAAAAACATAAACAGATATTTTTATACAGAAAGATATACAAGAAAACACATGTATCTTTTATACAAAGAAGACATACAAATGGTAAATAAGCATATGGAAATATGTTGAGTCCAACATCAACAGACACTAGGAACATGCAAATGAAAATCACTATGTATTTGATCATATATCCATCAGAATGGCTAAAATAAAAAGTAGTGATGTGGTAAAATGTCAGCAAGTATGCAGCAACACTGGATTACTCACACACTGCTAGTGCAACATAAAATGGTAAAATGGGACAGTCATTCTAAAACACAATTTACTTGTCTTCAAAACTAAACATTCAACTACCATGATGACCTAGCAATTGCACTCTTAGACAAAAAATAAAAACTTATGTATTTTTGTGTAAAACTTGTATATGAATGTTTACAGCAGCTTCATTAGTAACTGCCCCAAACTGGAAACAATCCGGATGTCCTTCAACAAGGGAATAGTTCTATAAATTGTGACAAAGCCATTCCATGGCATACAATGCAGCAATCAGAAGGAATGAAGTACTGATGCATATATCACCTGGATGAACCTCCAGAGAATGATGCTAAGTGCATGTGTGCGTGGGGAGCCAATTCTAAAAGAGGCTGTAAACACTGTATTATCTTATTTATATAGCTTTTCTTCTTTTTTTGTGGTATTGGGGATTGAACCTAGGGCCTCATGCATGCTAGGCAAGTACTCTACCACTGAGTTATATCCCTATATAGCAGTCTTGAAAGGACAAAATTATACAAATAGAAAACACATAGTGGTTACCAAGGATTAAGGTTGAGGGAAGGTGGGGTATAGGGACAATAAACAAGGAAGGAAATAGGTGTGTCTAAAAAAGGGTATCAGGAGGCATCCTTGTACAGACTGAGGAATTCTTCATTTCTTCATTGTATCAGTGTCAATATCTTGGTTGTGATACAGTATTATACTATGTTTTTAGAATTGGGCACATGGGACATGGAATCCCTCTGTACCACTTCTTATAATTGCATATAAATCAACTGTCTCAAAATAAACACTTTTTGGGGAGAGAGGGGTACCGGGGGTTGAACTCAGAGGTACTCAACCACTGAGCCACATCCCCAGCCCTGTTTTGTATTTTATTTAGAGACAAGAGTCTCATTGAGTTGTTTGGCACCTCACTTTTGCTGAGGTTGGCTTTAAACTTGCTATCCTCCTGCTCAGCCTCCCGAACTACTGATATTATAGCCGGGCACCACCACGCCTGGCAAAATAAACACTTAAAAAAAAAAAAGTAAAATGAGACCCCCCCAAAAAAAAAACAAAAAAACAGCACAAATTTCCACCATCTTCCAAATTAGTCCTCCTTCTAGATATTATCAACTCCTTGAATGATGTCACTGTCTATCCCCAAAAAAGCCAGAAACCTAGCAAGAATCCCTCACAACTCCATTTCTTCTGTTTTCCATATATAATCCAAGATGTGCTTTTATCTCCCAACTGTTTCTGGATTGGTCTCCCATCACCACTAACCTAGTCCAAGTCACTCCTGCATTCACTATGTAAGTGGAAACCTACAATGGCCAGCCATTGAGGTGTTGTGTTGGGGAAAAGGGAATGAACAAAACAGGAAACACTGCATAAGGTAGCCTATGATGCAAAGGAAGAGAAAGATCATTAATAATACTAATATTAATAGCATGCTGAAGGAAAAAAAAGCATGCTAAGGAGATAAAAACGTGGAGAAATAGAGGGCTGTTTTAGATGCACTGTCTATTCAAGAAATCTCTGCAACACAAAGAAGTAAGTTATGTGTATTTGTGGTCAACAGAAAGAATGGTCCCCAAAAGGAAAGCAAATGCAGAGGCCCTGAGGTGGCAGTAGCCTGGTTAGAGTCCTCAAATAAAGGGCAGGGTGAGAGCAGATTAAAGGTGAAGAGGTAGCTGGGGCTAGAAGAAGTAGATCTCTGAAGGCTGTGATGAGGACTCTGGATTGTGCTCCTTGGTGGAAGCCAATAGGGATTTTATGCACGAGAACAATACAGCATGGTTTTCCTTTTAAATAGATGCTTCTGGCAGCTAAAAGGAGACGATGTGGTGGTAGTAAGGGAAGTGCAGGGCCCGTTTACTGGTCTTTGTTGGAGAGAACAGGGAGATAGGAACAACACTCATACAAATTAAACAGGGGTGGGCTGGGGATGTGGCTCAAGCGGTAGCGCGCTCGCCTGGCATGCGTGCAACCCGGGTTCGATCCTCAGCACCACATACAAACAAAGATGTTATGTCCGCCGAAAACTAAAAAATAAATATTAAACAAAAACAAAACAAAACAAACAAAAAAAAAACAGGGGTGCTGAATACTATGTACTCACTTTGGCCGACTTTTAAAAACCATTACAGGCTATTTCACTGGGGTTGCTACTAAGTCCTCTGACACCTTGTAGAAATTGGGAAAACGCATGCTTCCTTCATGAAGATGCTGCCCCAGAAAATTTCACAGAGGACGTCAGTTTTTCATTGGAAGGAATTGTATTAAAAATTTTTAAATTTCTGAGACATTTTCACATTTAGGCATGAACCAAACTTAAGAGATGTACAAGTCGGTTTAACCCCATTTTTCTTAGTACATCTATTCCAGAAAAATACAACTCAAATGCTTATGCTTTGGGCTCATTTCATAAAGAACAAAGCCAAATAAAAGATGAAGACCCTCTAAGCCATGTCCTTCCATTGTCAGCGTAAAACTAACAAACCCAGGGATGATGGAAGTTGTTTTTCTTGTAGGTTTGCTTTGCTTTTTACCTCTTTGTGAATAGTTCTGAAGTGAAAATAACTTTGTAAAAGTATATTTTGTGAACTGGATGATCTAGGGAGTTCTGCCCTGGGAGCATGAGCTTTCTGCTACTGGATGTTCAAGGGTTAGGATTTTAGTTCTGGTCCTCAGTTAATAATCTGAGGTACTTCCAAGAACAGGTAGATCTCCAGGTCTTTCAACTGTGCTCCGGGGGTGTGCAGGAAGGGCTATTCCGAGGTTACTAGAGTCCAGGCAGGTGACAGCACAGCTGCACCCACAGCTCCCCTAGAACTCCCACCTGACATACACCTTTGAGGAAAGGAAGGAGGGCCATCCCTCAAGAGAAATGGAGCAGAAAACAACTCTAGCAGCCAACCCTCCTTTACTCAGTAATCTACTAATAATTTTCCTTCAGGGCAGTTGTTCAGAGCTGAGGAGGGGGAGTTGAAGGACATGAAAACATAGCCCTTATTAGAAATAACAGGTTGAATAAAAAGAGGAAGATTGCGTCTAGGAGCCTGGGTTTTCCCTTCCCCATCACTTTTTTTTTTCTAAGAGTAAATAGAGCAGGATTTATTTAAGTTAAAGGAGTCCCACAGTGGGAAGGAGGATCAGTTGCAGAAAAACCCATTTTGGTGTGCCAGCTTAGGAGTTTGTATATGGTTCTGGGCAGAACATGGAGCAAAATGTATGTAAAATAGGCACTAACAAAGTATCAAGGCTCTTTGTCTTCCTTTCCATCTGGGTTGACCTATAACTTCCTTTAGGGTTTACCCCCATCTTCAGGTTTTCTACCTCTGAGACAAAGGAGTTGGCTGAAGTGTTCCCCCAGGTGAGTCTCAAGGTTTTTTCCAACTGAAATAGGCCTTGATGATGCTCATTAATATGCCTACAGTTAGCCTTCTAGTGTGGTTCCTGTGTGTGAATAAGACTGACCATTGACTGATATTCTTATTCACTCCTCCCTCTGAAGAAGTCACTTTTAATTGCTGTTAGAAGGGGAGCTTCTTTTTGGATTCCATTTGTAAGGTCATTTTCTTCCCCATCATTTCTTGAGGCCTGAGAACCCTAAAGGAAGTTTCCCAATCAATACTCCAAGTTGCACCCTCTTCTTACGCAGCCTACAGTGATTCCTAGATACCTGAAGCTTGCCCACTCACCGAGAGAAGAGTCTCCGGGACTTTCTTTCTCTACCTTCCAGGGATCTTCTCCTTGTTGCAACAGGGAGATCACCTTTGGTTTGGTGAATGGGGGTCCTGCTCATAGGCAAAATAAAAAATAAATAAATATACACATAAGTAAAAAAGACTTGGTCATATTTTGAATCATAGTATCCCACATCTGAGGATGATACAAAGATCTTCTGTGGGATGCTTAGGATGTACTCCAAAGATGTAAAGGTTGTATTAAGTAAAAGGTAAGTGATTTATAGAACATGATTTTGGTAAAATTCATTGTGTATGAGGGAAATATGATAAACAGGAAGACTTATCTTTCTGTAGAAAATGTCAAATGTGTAAAACTTTAAGCAGGTATCTTTGGGGAAGATTATGTACCAAGTATCTTGTTTAAATTAAAAAAAACAGTCTATGATCTCTTTTCAGAGACAGAGTTAACAGTGTTCATCTGGCTGGAAAAGAGAAGTAGAGAAGGGAAGTGGTAGGTTAGTCAGGAAGGCTAAGGCATGCCTCTGCTCAGGGATGAGCAGAACAAACAAAAATTATAGGAAAGGGTTGGGGTTGTAGCTCAGTGGTGGAGCACTTGCCTAGCATGTGAGGCATTGTGTTTGATCCTCAGCACCACATAAAAGAATGAATAAATAAAATAAAGGTATCGTGTCCATCTAAAACTAAAAAAATTAAAAAAAAATCATAGGAAAATGTTGCCTCAACTGTGAAGGAATTTCAAATGTGAAACTGTGTTGATGGAGGGGGTAATAATCAACACCAACCCCCTTCATTCCCATACATGGGGCAATTCTACACCTCAATTCTCAATATTTATAGATATCTGATTTGTATAATCCTAAGGCAAAGCTCAGCTAAACTTTTTTTGATGACCCCCAGCTTTTATTCAGGGAAGCAGGTGCTGAGATCTCCCCATTTCTGAACTGTGTCTACAAGGGATTTCCTTACCCAGTGAGGCCAGGTTACTATAGTTCTCCAGCATCACCTCCCGGTACAAGCTTCTCTGGGAAGGATCCAGCTTTCTCCACTCATCCCGAGTAAAGAGCACAGCCACATCCTCAAATGTTACCGATACCTATAAGAACAAGACACTCCAGCTCACCCAGAACCAACCCTCCACAGCATATAGATGGAGGAAATGGAGTTAAACAGGCTACCATGAAATCCTGCTGATACTATTCAAGGTTCTCAAGAGGCCACTCATTCGTTTAATGGATATTCATCCAATGACAAAAACAGAGCAGCAGGAGGTAGGAACTGGTCTTGTGTTAACCACTATGAGAGGCATATAGAGGATTAATGTAATCAGCAAAGGAGTTAATTAGAATAATCCTTCTGATGGAGATCTGATAATACCTTTTAAAAAGCTTAGAAATGGATATCTTCTTACTTACCAATTACCATATTTGGACTGTAAAGAAGAATACACAAACTGCATGCATAAGGATATTTATCATGTTGGAAATAACCTAAATGCTGATACAGACTAGGTAAAATAAGGTAGTATCTGTTGCGTCAAGCTTGAGGATAGTAATTATGAAAATTAAAATAGCTTCCAGTTATTAAACGCTTTCTATGGGCCAATAACTGCTCTGAGAGCTTTATGTTAATCTTCTGTGTATAATCTATTTGATGTTCACCAAAATCCTATGAAGAAGGAACTATCATTGACCCCATTATATATAAGAAAAAACAAAGGTACAGAGAGGATAAGTGTGCTCCCTTGGCCCTTGGTTCATATCCCATGTTCTTGCCCACAGTGAGTAACATGATAGGAGGGCAATGTGCAAGCCCTAGAAAAAACACTGAAGTGTACAACTTTAACCTGACTCCATCTCTAGTCCTGCTCCTAGTTCCGGTGATAAGCTGACTGTGGTAGGAGGCTTCTGGATATCATCAGGATAGGGGCTCAAGGTTAAGTGGGTCAATAATTTAATCAATGTGCCTACACAAAGTCTCCATAAAACCCAAACTGGCAGGATTTAGAGTCTGAAAATTGAACATATGGAGGTTTTTGGAGACTGGTACACCCAGAAGGGATGTGGAAGCTCTATATCCCTTGTCCCATACTTTACACTATGCACCTCTACATTTGTAATCCTTTTTAATACCTTTTACAATAAACAGATAAATGTGTTTCCCTGGGTTCTGTGAGCCGCTCTAACAAATTAATCAAGCCAAAGGAAGGAGGTCGTGGGAACCTCAATGTGTAGCCAGTTGGTCAAGTACTGGAGACCCAGACTTGCAAATGGGATCTGAAGTGGGAGAAAGTTTTGTGGAGTCTGACATTACCTCCAGGTAGACAATGTCAGAACTGTACTGAATTAGAGGATGCTCAGTTGGGGTTCACCATTGCAGCACTCCTTACTTGGTGAGTGAAGAAAAACTCCCACACTCTTGGTATCTGAATGGTGTGGTGAGATTATAGCATATGAAAAAGAGTTTTAATGCTCATACACATATTTATTCTTTGAGCTTTTCCTGATGAGCATGCAATACATATATGATAAGAAAGATAATTTAATGGTATATGGAAGGAATACAATAAAGAATCTTCACCCTCAAAGAATTCAATAATACAATCAGCAGATAAGGAAAATGCATGAAATAGTTTGCACAATGAAAAAAAAAAAAGCTGTGTAGTGGGATCATATGCCATCTCCTAGTTCAATCTGCACTTTAGAAACAAGGAGAATAAGGTTCAGGGCAGCCAAAACCCCAGGTCTCATGTGTTTCTAGTGGCAACAGCAAGACCCGAACTAAAGTTTCCAACTATGAACCCAGTACCTTCTCTGATCCTTTACAAATAGTGTGGTACTGACACCTGGGCAGCAGGCAGGAATAAGATGAGGTAGGGGATTCACTGACACATGTGGATAGAGAAGGTTCTGAGCAGGAGAGCAACCTTGCTCTCTGGGAATGGAATGGGAAAAGCTTAAAGAAAACAGAACAGCTCAAACACACAATGGCAGGTACTGGTTGTTGCCTGAAAAATCAAATCCCACCATGCTTGTGGGTCCAAAGATGACCCCGTATTGCTAAAGTGCCCTGGTAACACATGGCTGGGTCTATGTTCTGAAAGATGTACCAGAAAAGCAGCTAGACAGTTCAAGCATGGATTGTGGTCATAAACTTGGGTTGACTTTTTTCAACCTTGGTTTCCTCATATATATGTAAAACAGGAATACTAACTGCTGTACTATTGTGAAAATAATAACAAACTCAAAGCCCCCTCACATTCCTCAACATGATGGACACTCAATAAATAACAACTGTTAATGACAGATGAAGATGAGTAGAGAAAGGGCAGTATTTTCTGTGTCCTGGAAATACTGTATAGCACTTTCTATCTATTAACATTAATATTTTTATTAATATTGTATCTTTCAGCTACCACAATAACCATACACAATTAGCTGTCACTGTGTGCCCCCCCCCACCCCCGATCTAAACACTTCCTATGCACTAACTCATGTCATCCTCTCACCTACTGAGGAGATAGGCATGTTGCTATTTCTTTTACTGGCGAGGAAACTGAGGCACCGAGAAGTGGAATTATTTTTGCCCAAGGCCCACCAACAGTAACAACAGTTAAAACCTGGCTGTGTGGCTCGAAAGTCCAACTTTCTAACCACTGCGTGTTCTATTTCTCTACCACCAATACCTCATAGAACCCTCCTTATGTTTCCTGAGGAGTCTCCTCTTTGCCCTCAGAGAAAGAGATCCCTCCACCTGTGTCCCCTGCAACATGGCTATCCTTTGCTCACAGGTCATGTTACCTCCCCCATTTTCCCAGCCCAGGGTTGAAAATAGCAGGTTGAGATTAGTTTTCAGGAGAAGAGTACAGGCAAAGCACTTGATCTTTAGAATAGCGAGGGAGAAAAAATTAAAAACCATGGGATGGAGAAATCTGGAGGAGGTATCATGAGGATGCTCAGGGGTGACTATAAAAAGAAAAGCATTTTGTCAAGGGCAGAGAGGAAGACAAGAATGAATGAAAGATGCAGGGCCAGAGAGGAATTTTATCATGTTGTGTATGTTTATTCTGTCCCTAGTGATATAAAGTTATGTGACATCTTACCTGTCAAATTAGTGATCACACAGTGGATTAAGAATGAACACTGGACATGTGTTCATATGTGCGGGGAGTATTCCCTACAGAAATCTACCACTTGTAAAGGTGGACCGGCTCCCCTAAATTCACAGGACTTAGGCTCCAAATCCTAATGAGGTTTGTATTGCTATAGAACTTCAGTTAAGAGGGATAAAACCATCCAGCCACCATCACCACCACCACCACCACCACCACCAAATCCATCCACTAAGAACTGATAAGGCAATGAGCTCACCTGAGACCTTGATTCCCTTTGCTCAGGAGCCATGTTCTCTTTTTGGGCTCTTCTCCCCAGGATGGGTGCAGTCTCCAGGAGATCTAAAAGAAGAAAAAGATACCATGAGGAAGACCTTCAGTTTTCCACCCCTCAGAACCAGCAGTTCTGACTCCACATGTCTGTAGGGGAATGTCAGAAGGAGCTAGGAGTGGACAGAATCAGAGACATGGGCTGGCGTCCTAGGCCAGGGCTTGACTCTTCATGGTTCTGAGAATTTCCAGAAGCAAGACTGGGAGAAGGGGACTGGATTCCATCACAGCAGGGACTCACTGAGCCTCACCAAGTGCCAGGCACCATTAGCTTTACACTATTTAGTCCCACATCATCAGGTAGCATTGCTAGCATCCCATTTTATGGATCAGAAAACTAAGAACAGAGCGGGGTGAATTGCTCCAGTTCCCCACAAGCCAGTGAGGATGGGACCAGGATTCCAAGCCCTGTACATTCGCTCTAATCTCACCGGCACCCCTGCGCAATTTTCCTCCACAAGCTTTTCCCAGTTTCTCTATCCCCTGTCAAGAAATCAATTTCCAGAGTTTTAACGCCGGGCCAGGGCAGGGAACGCGCTGTGGACGGATCTGCGGAAGCCGGAGGTGGGACTGCCGAAAACCTGGGCCAAGTGCCCCACCTGACGCGCCTGGGGCGACGTCACGGAACGGCTGGCGGAGGCAGGCAATAAGCGCCAGGGTGTCGCTCGTCCCACAAAGGATTCTCCAAGCACCTTGCGGGCCTGTTCCCCTCACTCGGGCGCCGCATCCTCGGAGGCCCGGGTCCGCCTACCACCGCCCTCTGCCGCTCACCTCCTCGGGCTCGGGGCTCCCGGGGTGATGCCTCGCCAGGCCGCGCTCCGCATACGGGATGCTCCGGAACCGCCCCGCTCGCCGCAACCTGGCGTCGGGACCCCGGCCGCCAGCGACCTCAGCTCTACAGCCGGAAACCTGGCGGCAGACACTCCGCGGCCCCGAAGGTCCAGGAGGGCGGGGCGGGGCGGGGCGGGGGGGTGGGTGGGGAGGAAAGGCCGGCCGCTAACGCTTCTGGGAAATGTAGTTGCACGCGAGGATTCTGGGAAGTGTAGTTTTCTGCATTTGCCTGCGCTGAGGGGCTCTGCAGTAGGGTGCTCAGGCCCCAACAGAGCTCCCTCTAGCGCTTCTGGGTGTGTTTACACTCTCCGTGAGCTTCTGGAGCCTGGGTACAAAGTTCTTCCAGAAGGGAAGCAGGTTCCCTGTGGGCGTTATCTTGTAGGTATTTATTTGCCTACATACATTTTGGTGAGGACACTAGATAACAGTCAGAACCAGACCCATTTCCAATGGAGTTATTCTGTGAATGAGTACAGAACACCTGCTATGTACCAAGCACTACAGGAAGTGGTTTAAAATACTCAGCAAACAAAAGGAAGTTTATTGCCCTGGAGAATTTTCTTAAGGGTATAGAAAGCAGACAATAAGCCATGAACACGATTATATAGCATTTAAGAGGAAAAATGTTATGGGGAAAAAGCAAACGAAGAACAGGCCAATATCCCTTATCAATTTAAATGCAAAAATCAACAAGATAGCTGCAAACTCAATTCAGCATTTAAAACAGGTTAAACACCTTAATCTGTGAGACTTCTTTCCAGAATGAAGAATAGTTCAACATTGGGAAATCAATGTAATATACCACATTAATAGAATAAAGGGGAAAAGTCCCTACATCATCGTTTCAGCTAATGTAGTAAAATCAGTTGTCGAAATCCAACACCTTTTCATGATCAAAAAAACCAAACGATGAACCTTTTTTAACATAATAAATGCCACATATGAAAGACACACAGTTAACATCACACTCAGTGATAAAAAAACGAAGGCTTTCTCTAAAATCAGGAACAAAATAAGAATGGTTATTTTTGCCTCTTCTATTTGCAACAGTGGATCACCTTGTGCTTTGAATATTGCTGCTCTTCCACTGCAACTGATTTTTAAAATGGACATGTTTCTTTCTCTTCCTCTTCCCTAATGTCTCCCCCTCCCCAATCTCAGGGGAAAAAGGATTACCTTTCTTCCCCATCCTAGACAGGAATATCTGTCCTTGAGCACTCACCCACCTGAAAGTGAAGTAATCCAGACTCTGGGGATGGATCTCAGAAATGACTATTTCCCAAGTTAACAAGTGAATTACAACTCCAACAGAGAACACGTGGAATGTAGCCTATGTATCATCTCTTTAAAAGGCCCCTGTTCCTGTTGATGGGTAGAATGTTGATGGGTAGAGCCTCTGGGACAGCAGTTCCCTGAGTTTCTCCTTTGCTATCAAAGCAATAAAACTTTTTTTTTCCTTTTTCTCAAAACTATGTCCTCCTTATTGGATTGGCTTTGGGGACAAGGACTGAGCTTTCAGCTATGGTAGCATTATAGTTTTAAAAACAGAACTAGTGAGATTGGATATTTGTAACATCAGGTCTTTATGTGAACAAATGCATACATGTCTCCATTGATGGAATCTTTTGTGATTATGTACCATTAAGTGTTACAATTTTAACATTTAAAAAATAAGATTTGGTTTTATATCCTTATGGTTTTGTTGTTCTGTGAATAGTCTCTTTTTCTTAGTGAATTCTGTTAGCATACAGAAATGCAATTGACCTTTGGATACAAAATTGGCATTTAATATTCTATCTAATCAGTATCATTATTAAACTCTATTATCGTATCTATTTGTTGATATTGTCTGTGAATAATGATAATTTCTTTCTTCCTTTCCAATCCTGGATTTTATATATTTCTTTGCCTTATTGTATAGTTTGTATTGAATGTTGAATATAAGTGGTGACACAGGACATTCTGGTCTCAATACCAATCTCAGCTTTCCACATTTTATCATTAAGAAAAATGTTTGTAGCTGGGTATAGTGCTCAGGCCTGTAATTCCAGTGACTTGGGAAGTTGAGGCAGGAGTATCATGAGTTCAAAGCCAGCCTCAGCAACTTAGTGAAACTTTGTCTCAAAACAGCAACTAAAACAAACAAACAACCAAACAACAACAACAACAAACAAGCAAACATATAAAAAGGGCTGGGGATGTTGCTCAGTGGTTAAGTGCTGCTGGGTTCAATTCCTTATTTAAAGAAAAAAGAGTGATGTTTGTTGTAGAATTTTTAATACCCTTAATTGGAGTAAGAAAACTCCCTCTTATTCTTGAATTGTGGAATTCTTAAAACAGCAAGTTTTCACTGTTGTTCATACAGATGTCCCTTAAACCTGAACTATTTAAATTTCAAAATGAAGGAAAATTCACTAATTGCACAGTTAAGTAGAGGCTGGATTTCAGCTCTCCTATTTGGAGAAGTAGACAAAATATTCAGAACTCATAAGTGCACATTTGTAGAGACTCAAAAAATTCTCATTTTGCAATTGGAGCTGTTGGGCTCAGAATCCTTTGGAAAACCCAGCATTAGATGATCCAATCAAAGGAAACCTGCTACTAATGATCCAGTCAAAGGATAAATTTGTAGTTGCTTGTGAAAGGAATTAGGCAGATATAATTAAGTCCTAAACCCTTAAATTACTCAACAGGGCAGAAGTCCTGGATGCTGAATGAGCCTATCCATTTAAGTCAGGTAGGTTAGATAAATTCTCTTGTGAGGCAAGATATTAATTAGTCTTTGTCTCCAGAGAAGAGAAGGATAACATGCTGCTGAAGAACCTTCAGAGAGTGCTGGAGAATGAAGCCAGGACTCTAGGCTGCAGGCAGATATGCTGGAAGCCCTGCAGGAGCCCATGGCTGGCCTATGCGAACAGCTGCCTGTCCATCCAGTGGGAATAGCAAAAGCGGGTGGAGAAGATGGAGAGGGAGGTGATGGCCTTGCAGGAGAAAGTTAGGAAAATTCTGCCTCAGACTGTGTTCTGATTCTACCCGACATTTCCAGATACTTTGGCCCAACCCCACTGCTATCCTGGAAGAGGACTCAAAGGACAAAGATGGAGAGCTGTCAGTGGAGTAAAGTCTCCTTTGTCAGTAGGTCCTGGCTTTCTGGTCTTATTTGTGTTTAAGAGAGACATGAATGGATACACCAGCCAGGACCAGGTGGCAGCAGAACCAGTTATCCCATAGATCTGGAAGACAGCTGACCCTGCACCTGGGCCACCCAGCCCTTCCTTCCTGAGCCACATGATCCTGAGGACAATAGTGACAGCTATAGTCATTTGCTACCTATACATCTGGTAAAGGGTAATATATGAATATGCAAGAACAACATGGAAGCAGAAGAATCTCCAGATCAGTGATGTCATGTTGTGCCTAATCCTCAGACATCCAGTGGAGCTCAGTGTGGACAAAGGCTTTTCAACCAACCTGGGCTAGGGACTGTAGATCAGCAGCTGGAGAGAAGACCTTTACACTGCTAATGATCAAGCCTGGACAGGGATAGAGGCATGAGGCAAGAGGGAGCAGGAAGGAGTAGACACATATCTCTTCAAAGTGAATGGACTGTTATTTGTAACCCCAAGGATGAATGTCATATGTGGAAACATTTTGTAAACAGTCAGTATAAAAACTGGTTCTTGGTGCCAGAGCCCTTACTGCCTGTTGTCAAGGGAGAAAGGAGGAATAGAAAATTCTACTCTCAACTATTTGGCATTTTCAGAGTGGGTAGCATCAGTGCTTCTCTCCCCTTTCTTATTTATAGAACGTACTGCCCCATACTTGTAAGGAAGACTCCCACTTCCTTTGGTGTGATTTTAGCATCTGTGGATTAATAGAGTGTGTAAAAACAACTGCTTATGTAAAGTTACCCCAACCACCAGGAATAGGAGAATATTCACATATTAGAACTGTCCTGGCAAATGACTTGTGCACCTATCATGCTATTTTAATCTGGGGTGGGTAAAGTAAGTTCTTGTTTGGTGCAGCTATTCATTCAAGTAAAAACATTTAGAACAAAACAAATACTATTGCTGTTGTGTCAGGAGCCACTCTGGACACCTTTAAGTCCTGAGTAAAGGGGTACTGAACAGTTATTACACCCCACAATACATTGGGCTTTACCTCCGCTGATAAGGAAAGTGTGGCTCCAGGAGTGGGCGTCACCCATGCGGTTGAATTACACCCACCTGTTCCTTTGTAACCCTACCCCTTTGCCCTTTTGGGGATAAAATGTTCCATGGAACCTCCCCTTGTGTGTCCCCTATATAAGAATAAAGAATTCCAGTGGCTCTCTCTCTTTCCACGGATCCCTAAGGTCACAGAGCCAACCCTGGATTTTGAAAAGGTACTTCTGTGTGTTTGCATGCTTTCTTTGCCATTTTCTCAAGTTATTGGAATAGTCAGATTTTGTGAACCCAACATTAGGCCGCCAGCTTGGATAGATGGTGATACTGCTGTCTATGAGAAAGCCCCTTAATGACGGTGTTATTGTAATTCAGAATGAAGAAAAAACTGCAAACTCCAGTTTGTTATACAAAGTCAGAAGTTTTGGCACTTCAAGTTTGGGTGGAAATATTCCTATCAGGGCCTGGTATGAGTCCCCCGAGTTCCTTGAAATTTTCCTGGAAATGAAGTCCCATCCAGATCTACTATCCTTGGAAGGGGGGAATTGAACTCTGGACCAGTGGGAGTCTTTGATAAATATAGTGAAAAAGCATTTCCTCACATGTCAGGAAAGGCACAGGGATTTATTTAGGAAAGCAAAGAATACACAGT